TTCTTGGAGGAGGGAGACACTCTCTGCTCACTTCCTGAGAGATATTCCCTGAGGAAAAGCCACATGGACCTACCCTGACGCAGCCCTGGAAGCTGAAGAAGGCAGAGACACCCCTGCCAGAGTTGAAATGCTTACAATGCCAGTGGATCTAAAGACTTTATACCCACTGGCCTGTCATCGTCCTTGATGTCATTGCATGTGTTTCGTGAGTCTGACGAGGACTTTATATATTGGTATCAGACATATGGGCTAATATCAGACTTATGGACTTGATCTGAACTGGGCTGGGATGTTTTCTCAATATTCAACTGCTCTTGTATATAAAATTCTTTCTTATACCCATGAGTTTCAATGGATTTGTTTCTCTAGTCTGCCCAGACTAACACACACATCCATGTTCATTGCACACTAGTCACAATAGCAACAAGATGGAAGCAACCTAAATGCCTGTTGGTGGAGGATGGATGTAGGGAGCCCAAAAGTTGTCCCTTAGATGGCTGCTCAGGACCTGTTAAGCCATAAAGAACCACTGCTTTAAAGCCTCCATTGCTACTCATCAAATTAGGATGTAGAACATTGTGTTTGTGAACTATGTTACACCAATTAACTTATTTTCTCAAAGTGTTTGGTTATATCTATGATACTTTTCGTGGAGAGGAATTACCGAGAGCTGAATGAAGGTCTGACATGATAGTAGGACAGGAGGAAAGTCAAAGGAAATAGAGGAAAGAACTAAGAGGCAAAAGACATTTATGGAGGTCTAAATACAGGCAAATACGTAAGTGAATATATTTATATATATCAATAGGGCTATAAGTATGTCAAGTACTAAGGTAGCAGGTGAATATTTGGCCTCTACTCAAGTCCTCCCTCAACACAAGAACACTTTGTTCTACTAACCTGGCATTCTGTTGTACTTACCTTCCTCACAACATCACTGAAGACAAAATGGGTGCTTAAGCAAACATGATGAAGAATATTGATGGTGTCCAGCTATTACAAGATAGAGCGTCTGGGGTCTTAAAGGCTTGAAGATAAACAGCGCCCATCTAGCAGGGGAGCAACAAAGCCCACATAGAAGAAATACACTAGCCTGTGTGATCATAAAGTATCAACAGGATCAGGTATCAGGCATCAGAAGATGCAAAACAAACAGTCATATTGATGCAAAGAGGGGGGTCAGAGTGGAGACCCAAAGCCCATCTGTAGACAATTGGACATCCCCTCCCAGAAGGGTCACAAGGAAGGGGCAAGTCAGCCAGGGTGCAGTACAGGCCAATGAAACATACAACACTCCTCTAGTTTTAAGGATCCCCACCCACCCATTATCATGGCCCCAGCCCTGCCTTTCAGTTCTAGCTAGACCAGAGCATGTACAGTGGTACAGATAAAAGCTCTCGACACAGACGGGATTCAGGACAGATAAACCCCTTAAGAACAGTAATGGGAGTAGGGATATGATGTGGGTAGGGGGAAGGTGTGTGGAGAAGGGGAAACCGAGTACAATGATCTACATATAACCCCCTCCCAGGGGATGGACAAAAGAAAAGTGGGTGAAAGGAGACATCAATCAGTGTAAGACATGTAAATAATATTAATTTATCATTTACCCAGGGTTCAGGAGGTGGGAGGGTGGGGAAGGGGGAAAAAACAAGAAGAGCTGACACCAAGGGCTCAAGTAGAAAGAAAATGTTTCAAAAAGGATGATGGCAACATAGGTACAAATGTGCTTGATACAATGGATGTAGGGATTATTGTAAGAGCTATAAGTGTCCCTAGTAAAATGATTTATTTTAAAAAAAGACATTTTTGTCATTTTGACCGCTGTAGGCCTCTACATTCACGGATATATATGCAGCAAAATTAAGACAACATTTCTATATTTTTATTTACATGTGCTGCAAATACATCTATGAATACAGAAGAGCACAAAACAAAAATCAGTAGGAATTAAAATCTGGTTATAACCTATTAAATGTTTGACTGAAGCTGGATTTGGTGGAGGGGACACCTCTCTACACAGATATCATGCATCATGTTTTCCTTGAACAAGGATGACACACTCAGCTCTTTGTCAGTTTATTTGAGGTGTGTCTATCTTTGTTTTTGTCTTAATTTAGAGGAACACTAACAAAATTGTCCTTGATTTTCACACACACAGGCCAAACTGGAAAATAAAAGACCACAGCTGTACTAGGGGATATTTCATCCAAGTATAGCCTCATAACAGCATGGTTGGAGACCGGAGAAAGGAATGCTCGAGATATTGCCCAGGTAATAAATTGTAAAAGATATGTTCACAAGTTATTGGTAACCATCACGCTTGAATAGGAGAAAATTTCCATACAACTAGAGGGGAAAAGAAAACCTGTCAACATAATCATAGGACAGAATAATGGAGTGTCAGCGTGGATAGACAGAAAGGCTTTGGAAAATAACAGTGACAAGATCACTTCGAACATAATAACCAAATTATGTTTTTTTAACAGCAGCACAATGCAAATAGAGACATGTCAAACTATATGCTAATAAAAGTTGACAATAAAGGGATAGGAGAAAATATATCAAGCAGCAGTAATAAAAAAAAGCATTGTAGCTATATTAATAGTGCACAAAGTAGAAGTTAACTCAGCTGAAATTCGACCAAGAGAAGAATATTTTATAAAACATAAAAATGACCAATAAAATATGCTCTGTGTTAATCAGGATAATGTGCCTACGAAGACAGGTTGAAAATCAAGGACAATTTTGTATTTTTCATTTTACGTTCCTACTTTGAATGCTATACTGGATGAACAAATGAAATCTTTACTGAGTTGTCTCTCTCCCTGTCCCACCCACCCCACCCGACCCTTAAGAATAAATTATTTAATCCAGCTAACTTTTTCTGGGTTTCCATCCAGGACTGTACTTTTTTACGGTGGAACCCTGATGGTGTAGCGGTTACGCGTAGGGCTGCCATCCGCACGGTCGGCAGTTTGAAACCACTGTAACCAGGGTCACTACGAGTCCGCATCGACTTAATGGCCTTGAGTTTGCTTTGGTTTATCCTATGTCAGCCTCTTTAGCAGACTTCAGGGATTGCACCTTTCTGCCATTTAATTAAATGGGCGAGGTAGATAGGCAGATCAATTTAGGTTGTTATACTGGGATGAACAAAGTACTTCGCAAAATAAAGGAAGCTAAAACGTCCTTAATGATTCGCCACTTTTAAAAATTAAAATCATGAAGTTGGAAGAGCCACATCCACAGCACTCCCAAAAGTCCCTCCACAGCTTGACTTAGATTTAGCCTTGGTCCCAGACGGCCTGGAAGGTGGCGTTGGGACGTCCGATTACCGCGGAGCTTCAGAACGTCCCTCGCATTTCGGTTGCGCCTACAAAGCCCAGAATGCAACGCGTCTGCGGAGGCGGAAGCAGCTGGCGGAGTCCAGGCCTGTGATTGGTGACGAGTACTGGACCAATTGGAGGGGCTTTTGTTGGACTGTCCCAGAGACCCGGTCCGGGAGGGAGACGGTGGCAAGATGGTGTTGGAAAGCACTATGGTCTGGTGAGGAGCCGCCCGGGGGTCCCGCGGGAGGCGGGCCTGGGTCGGGGACGCGTATTATGCGGAGGCCAGGCTGGTCTAGGGTGGGGGCGGGGAGTTGACTGGCAAGATGCGGCCGCGGCCTGGGCGAGAAGGCGCTCCAGGGACTCCCTGAGTCATCCCGGGGCCAGGAAAGGAGGACAGGCCCGGGGTCCTCCCTTGGCACCCCTGCTAGCCTTTGCCGCCTTCTTCTGCCCCGGCGTTGTCTTCTCGAGACCAGCCCCGCTCTGTCTTTAGCCAAAGTCCTGCTGCTGGGACCGCCTCGTCCGTCTTCAAGAGAATGGGGCTTAAGAAGAGAGGCTAGAAACTTCTTCCCTGCCCCATTCACTTCTTCCCTAACCCTCGCCTTGTCTTCTTCCAAAGTACCGTTTCTAAATTTCTTATGGGCCAGGCCTCTTCCTTACTTCATCTCACATACACCTCGCGGCAAATGTAAATATCTCTTCACTTTACACACGAGGAGACCATTTTGCCCAAAGTCACACTGCTGCTAAGTGCTGGAGCCAAGGTTTAAACCCACGGTCATCCGATACACAGACACCAACGGGTGAGGTAGGCTGCCTTCTCTCTTTTGCAGTCGCACGTTTGAGTCGAGTGTCAACTGGTGGGCAAGATTAGAAGCGGAGGAATTTGTACACGGTTTCAAAGATTTTCTTCTCAGTGTGAGCATAGAATAGAATACAGAACAGTATACAGACACACAAGTTGTTAAATGGCATCTTTTGGGAAAGGATCGTGTTGCCAGTTATGATAGAGAATACCCAGAATGGCAGTTTGGACCCAGATAGGTGTCGCAGTCTATTTACATAAAGATTTACAGCCTTGGAAGCCTGTGGGGGCACTTTGACTCTGTTCTGTAGAATTGGTAAGAGTTGCAATCAACTTCGCAGCAGAGGGTCTGGTTTTTGGATGATCTCCCAATTACTGCATGAGGGATACGATACCTGTGTTAAAAAAAAGTTTACTGTTGTTTACCTAAAATGCAGGTTTAACTGGGTGTCCTAAATCTAACATCTGGGAAAGATAATTTCTTTCTTTTTTATTTAATCATTTTATTGGGGGCTCTTAGAGCTCGGATAACAATCCATACATCAAAAAAAAAACCAAACAAAAAACAACCCATCCATCCATCCATTGTGTCAAGAACATTTGTACGTATGTTGCCATCATCATTTTCAAAGCGTTTTCTTTCTATTTGAGCCCTTGGTATGAGCTCCTCACTTTTTCCTTCCTCCCCCACCCTCCCTCCCTTATGACCCCTTGATAATTTATAAATTATTATTTTCATATCTTAGACCGCTGTCTCTCTTTACCCACTTTTCTGTTGTCCGTCCCCCTGGGCGGTGGGTGGGGTGGGGTGTTGTTATCCATGGATCATTGTAATCGGTTCCCCCTATCTCTCCCGGGAAGGTCATTTCAGAGTGACAAGAGGACAGGGTTTAGAATCCAAAGCCTTGTATTTCCTGGTCCTTAACTAGCTGGTTGTACTTGAGCCACTTAACTCACGTGCCTTCTTTATTTGCAAAATGGAAGTGACAGTAACATTCACATGCTTTATAGTTTGAGGTCGTTGTGAAAGTGGAATGTGGATGATAGATTTTTGCAGACTGGTGAACCCTGTGTGTGTGTGTGCCAGTTCAATGGTACTTGGGAAGACCTCAAGACCGCATGTAAAGGGCCTTAGAATGCCGAGAAGGAGCTGCCATTGAATCCTTACAGGGAAGGCTTAACCAAAGCTGCTGAAGTGAAAAGGGGACAGACTCAAACTCCCCAGGGTTGATTCCAGCCCACAGCAACCCTGTGGGACAGAGCAGAACTTCCCTGGGGCGTTCTGAGGCCGTGACTGCTGGAGCAGGAAACCTCATCTGTCCAATGCAGAGCAGCTGCCAGCGCGTTCTGCTGGCCGTGTGGTTGGCAGTCCAACTTGTCACGGACTACGCCACCACGCCTCCTGAGGGACTGGATCATGTGCTTGGTTTCCAGTGGTTCCTTTTGTGTTGGAAGGTAGCTGGGAAGACAGAGAAGACAAGAATATCGACCTGAGGCCTTGAAGCCCTGCTCTGTACCCTTCCTTTCCTAGGGTTGGAAAAGCTTTGAGTGTGGTAGAGGCAGCGTTGTGTACCAAACAGCATTTAAGAATATTGATCTGCGTTGGTGAATAGTAGGGTAAATGTGTTCCAGAATGGCCTATTCTAGTAGCCTCAGAAGCCCGGGTGGCACATGGGCTAAGTGCTCAGCTACCAACTGAAAGAGCAATGTTTGGAACCCCTCAGCTGCTCTGCAGGAGAAAGATGTGGCAGTCTGCTTCTGTAAAGATTACAGTCTTGAAAACCTGGTGGGACAGTTCTACTCTAGCTGACAGGGTTGCTCTGAGTCAGAATTAACAGGAGGCCAATATTTGTTTTCCATTTTAGTAGGCTTGGCACAGGATGCTGATGAAGGCCACCTATTTTAATTTTTAAAAAATTTTCCTGTAGGGCCATGCTTTGCTGTGGGTCAGGGTTCCCTGGGGAATGTGTGAAAAGGCAGGCTTTGACTGTGCAATTGTTGAGTCACACTCCCTTAACCAGGAGAGTCCAGGCCTCTGGTCTTTCTTTCTTTCTTTCTTTTTTAACATAACATCAGGATTCTATTGTATTATCAATAAACACAGTGAAGTTTAGTACTAGATCACCTGGCCCTTTCCCTTGTTAGGCTTCCCAGTTAAAAAATGCTGGCATCTCTTAATAGCCAACATTCACTTTGATCTGCAGTTGGGCTCAGCACATTCAAGTCTCAACACAATCTTTGTAGTTTTAGCCCGCTTCCGAAAAACCGTCTTAGTCTGCCCACCCTATCCACTCTGCCTCACATCATAACGCCGCTCTCCCTGGGCATACACAGAATCTGTGCCCTTCCTGTACTGTGCCATTTTGTGGGCTTGGTGCTTGCCACACTTCTTACAGAGAGTCCAGTGGGTTTTAGGAACGTTCACCTTGTTTACTGGGGTGCTACCAGCATGAATACTTTTTTTTTTTTTTTTTGGTAAAGTAAGTTTATCAGTAATAATATTAAATAATTTGCCCCCAATATTTGATAATACACATTTTGGGGTGTTTGGGATACACAAGGTCTTTGTAAGTGACTGGCATACAACCCATTATGGGTGTCCTGTTGCGTTTGTGATTTCTGTTTCTTCCCACAAAGACCTGTTGGTGCCTTGAATGAAAGTGCGTCCAGTAAACAGACAAGTGCACAGGGTAAAGGCTGTGCACTCTTAGAATCTACACGTCCCACAAGCGGTGCTTTTTAAGAGGCGCGTCATGAGGATTTTCTGTTGCAGGGGCAGGTCCTTATTCTGGTACTGTTCACATGGTGGGAAAGCTTTTATGCACAGGGCTGCGTGAGTCCCAGAATCTGCGGGCGACTGCCATCTTTTTAAATTTTAATGACAACTTCATGGGATAGCTGGGTAATGCCTTTAAAATCCTGTTTTGATGGGAATTTTTTTTTAAATCATTTTATTAGGGGCTCATACAACTCTTATCACAATCCATACATACATCAATTGTATAAAGCACATTTATACATTTGTTGCCCTCATCATTCTCAAAATATTTGCTCTCCACTTAAGCCCTTGGCATCAGCTCCTCATTTCCCCCCTCCCTCCCTGCTCCCCCTCCCTCCCTCATGAGACCTTGATAATTTATAAATTATTATTTTGTATAAGCCGAGTTTTTCAGCACATTTTTAAAAATAATTTTTTTTCTTTCTTTTTTAACATTTTATTAGGGACTCATACAACTGTTATCCCAATCCATACACACATCAATTCAATGTACAAATGCGCTTTACACAATTGATGTGTGTATGGATTGGGATAACAGTTGTATGAGCCCCTAATAAAATGTTGATGGGAATTTTTATGAGGTAAAAGTATATGCTGTTGTTCTATTCATGTAAGGTTCAAATTGGGGAAACAAAAACAGTATTTCTCTTTTAAAAAAAATCATTTTATTGGGGGCTCTTTCAGCTCATATCACAGTCCATGTGTCAAGCACATTAACACATATGTTGCCATCATCATTTTCAAAACACTTTTTTTCTATTTGAGCCCTTGGCGTCAAAAACAGTATTTCTTTAGGGATAGATCAAACCCAACCCGCCACTGAGTGGGAACCCTAATGTTCTGTGGGAACCTCCGGGTTGTCAATCTTTGTGGGCACGGGTAGCTCTTCCATAGTCATATCTGTAACAGTCCCCCTTCCTCCAGGTGGTTGTGGTGCATGGCAGTGAGAGGCCCAGTCTTACTCCTCACCTCCTTTTCTCCTCTCCCTCACGCCCTGCTGTACTCTGAAGTTCAGCTCCCATTCATTTGCTGTTTTGCCCCTTATTGAACTTTTCCTGCATGGTTCATGGCGACCCTCTAATGGTAGAAACGATAAATGCCCCTGCACCGATGAGGAAGCAGGACTAGAAAGGAATTCAACAACTCTTGAGCTGTAGAATTAGTCGGTAGCAGAGTGAGAATTTGAACTCAGGTCTGTTTCAATTTCCTAATCACTACTACCCTATACAGTAGATCCTGCTTCCCAGATCTGCCTGTCCACTTTAGCAAAGCGCTCAGCGTTTGGGTTCATGGTTTCAAGCAACAGAAGCCCTTGGTTGGTTTAGAAAACTACATCTATATGGCAGTGTTTTGAACATAACTCCTAAAATTGAACATCTGCAAGTGAATATCTGAGAGTGATTACATTAACAAATTACACGCTACAGTGTTGTATGTAGTACTATAATGAATAAGATGTACAAGAAAAGTCTCCAGTAGTTGTAAGCATAGTTTGTCTGATTCATACATATCTCTTGAGTAGGGGACTACCTGTATTGCCTTCTCTATGTGTTTTTCAGTAGCTTAACTACCTCTCTTTACCGTTTTTTGGTTTGTATTTATTGCCAAACAAAGCATTGTAAAGGGAGGGGGAAAACCCCAAGCCCATAGTTTGCCAATGGAAATGAAGGATCTACAGCACTGCTTTTCGGTTAGCATAGAGACTCATTGGCTGAGCACAGAGGCCGTCAAGAATTGATCCTGTTCAGGGACTTGTAAAACCAATTTGTTTACCTGACCTCTTTTGCTCTCTGAGCAACTGGAGCTTGGACTTCTTATTATCTGCAATCTTTAGGTTATGAAAAGTTGCAGGGATACAAGCGGTAAGGCAGCTTGGGGACCCAAACCCATGAGCCCTCATTTTCCCAATTCATTCCAGCTGCCAAAGCTGTTAGGCATTGAAGCCGTTGGCTGCATTCTGCTTCTCTGCACTGAGTGCTGTCCAAATTCAATGGCATCAAATCGATTCCAGCCTCTGAAACTGTGTAGGACAGAGCCAAACTGCCCCTTGGAGTCTCCTAGGATGTAATCTACCTGGAAACAGACTTCCACATCTTTTCCCCACTCAGCGCCACCAAAGATATATTACTTTAGAAATGTGTTTAAGTGGCTGTCTTCATTGCCTCCCTTTTTATACTCCCATTTTAAAGGGATACAGCTTATAATGCTTAAATGTGGCATATTTAAAAACCAGATGGTAACCTTTGGTGCTCATCAGGATCACCGCAGGAGTTCGGTAAGTCTAGGGTAAGGCTTGCTCAGCTCTATGTTCAAAAAACAAGTTGGCAGGTGATTCTCTGATCCACAGAGGCTGAGACCTGCTGCCTGACATCACAGAATCCGTTGCGGGAAAGATGTTGGAGGGGGCTCTGGGGCGGGAGGCAGTGCGTAATGTTCAGAATATCCTTTCTTTGTCCTTCACCTGACAGTGTGGATAACAGTGAGTATATGCGGAATGGGGACTTCTTGCCCACCCGGCTACAGGCCCAACAGGATGCTGTCAACATCGTGTGTCACTCCAAGACCCGCAGCAACCCTGAGAACAACGTGGGCCTCATCACATTAGCCAAGTATGTGGGACTGAGGAAAAGGGGTTGGTATTTGAGCAGTGGTTTTCCCATGTGGACCCCGTGGTGATACACTAGGGAAGAGCACTTCAGAAATTCACGGGAAATTTTCAATATCGCTCAAATCCATTTTTCTTTCTCACTTTCTGAAACCCTCTCCTGTGGGCAGTTAGATTACCCTTTAGCAGAATCCAGGAGGCTGCTTTTAGCTGGACTCTCACTATTCTATGAAATATAAACAGCGACTTTAAAAACAAATTCCTGGTTCATACTGAAGTGGTTTTAGTTCTCAGTAAGATATCAATAAATCTTGTCATTTATTTAGTCAGCCCCCTTTTTAAAAAAGAACTTTTAAGTTTTATTGACACAATTCACATAGCATATAGTTCAATAGTTTGAACATATTAAAGAGTTGTACAATCACCACAATCAGTTTTATAGCATTTTTTCTTTCTTATATTCATTATTATTAGCGCTTCATTTCCTCCCCACCCTCTCCTGCCACACGCCTAAGAAATATTAATCCAGTTACTATCTCTGTAGCTCTACCGATCCTGCATTTCACATAAAGAGAAGTATGCAAAAAGAAAAAGGAGAAAACAGCCAAACCTAACAGCAGTAACAAAACAGAAAAAGCCTCAGCTGAGAAGAGGACAACGTGATAAAAACGAGAACAAATTTAAAATGGGTCAAAGGGAGAACATATGATAAGATGCTAGGTTTCAACCTAATTAGATCTACATCAATCCACTTTCTAACGCACTTTCTGATTTCAAGGCTGCTCACAGCCCCAGTCGATGGTCAGGGAAGTCACTGGCGGCCCAGTCCAAGGGGGACTCTACATGAATTTTGGCCTTCCACTGTCATCCACAGCCCTCTGTAAACTGTGCGCAGAATTTAATTGCTAATACTGTTCTCTCCTTCAGTCTTGGATTTTAATATTTAGAATCCTTGGATCACAAAGGCTGGTATGTTTCTTCTCTGTGGACTTAGCTTCACCTCACATGGATAGTTGCTTGTTTCCAGACAAGCCTTTAAGACCCCAGGCACAATTCTTTCCAATATCCGGGCACCATCTGGTTTCTTCACCACACTGTGCTGTAGCACCCCTCTCTCCAGTGATCTCTTCATGAGCATTGAGTAGGATTATTCAGTCATTCCCTAAAATCAAAATCAGTTCAACTATTTTAAAGTTAATTTTAGTTTGCTTTTTGAATATATGTTTGGATAACCTTGTAGTATAGCCAGGAACACCAGGGTGATGTTCTTATAAAGTCTTTGTTGTTGAACGGACAAACAAAAAAGTGGGTGAAGGGAGACATCAGACAGTGTAAGACAAGAAAAAATAATAATAGTTTATAAATTATCAAGGGTTTGTGAGGGATGGATGGTGGGAGAGGGAGGGGAAAAATGAGCTGATACCAAGGGCTCAAGTAGAAAGAAGTGTTTTGAGAATGATGATGGCAACAAATGTGCTTGACACAGTGGATGGATGGATTGTGATAAGAGTTGGACGAGCTCCCCATAAAATGATTAGAAATAAAGTCTTTGTTGTTAAGAACATAAGCAGCAGAACATAAAACCAATTCAGTAGTGTCTGCATGTCTGTCCCAGTGGTACTGGGGCATCACCCTCCTTTTCTGCATTGTTCCTCCCCATTAACAAAACCCATTGTTCCCTACGTTTCCTAGCTAATATTTGCAGTAATTACCAGTTTGGTCCCATATAGATAGATCTTAAAAGAACACAGTACTCTGAAGGTAAACAAGGGCCATCGAGCTCAGAAGCAACAAAGCCCACATGGAAGAAGCACACCAGCCTGTGCGATCACGAGGTGTCGAAGGGATCAGGTATCAGGCATCATCAGAACAAAAAATCTTACCATAGTGAATGAGGGGGGGGAGTGCGGAGTGGAGACCCAAAGCCCATTTGTAGGCCACTGGACATCTCCTTACAGAAGGGTCTCGGGGAGGAGATGAGCCAGTCAGGGTGTGATATTGCAACGATGAAAAATACAACTTTCCTCTAGTTCCTAAATGTTTCCTCCCCGCCCCCACTATCATGATCCGAATTCTACCTTGCAAATCTGGCTAGACCAGAGGATGTACACTGGTGCAGATAGGAACTGGAAACAGGGAATCCAGGGCGGATGATCCCTATAGGACCAGTGGTGTGAGTGGCGAAACAGGGAGGGTAGAGGGAGAGTGGGTAGGAAAGAGGGAACCGATGACAAGGAACTATATGTGACCTCCCTGGGGGACGGACAACAGAAAAGTGGGTGAAGGGAGACGTCGGACAGGGCAAGATATGACAAAATAATAATTTATAAATTATCAAGGGCTCATGAGGGAGCCGGGAGGGAGGGGAAAATGAGGACCTAATGCCGGGGGCTTAAGTGGAGAGCAAATGTTTTGAGAATGATGAGGGCAATGAATGTACAAAAGTGCTTTACACAATTGCTGTATATATGAATCGTGATAAGAGTTGTATGAGTCCCTAATAAAGTGATTTTTTAAAAAAAAGAACACAGTATTCAAGGAAGACATTTAGCAATTTGTTTTTAATGCCATCGTGAATGTATTACAGTTATGAAGCTGAATCTACTGGGGCAAATATGGTGCATTTTGAAGTCATTGCAAAGTGCTTTTGGAGCAGAACCCTCAAAGGACAGGCGGCACGTGTTCTGTTGCTCCCTAAGTGATGCGTGTTAGAAACAGATAATCCTCTCACCCCAGTAGCTATGCTGTGAGCTGGGAAATGGGTCTAGAAATGGAGAGGGTGAGGAGAGTTACAAAGTAGCATCCAATTGTAAGGAAGATCAAAAAATTAGAGGGAAATATTGGGGATTAGAAAGAAGGTTTTTATAACATTTTAACCACTAAAAAATACATAATTGTTGTAACAGACCAGTCACTTAACCATTTCTGTGCTTGGTTTAAAAACATTTGGTAATTTGATTAAGAAGATTAGGGATTAAAAAAAAAAAGATTAGGGATTTCAATTATTATCCAGGTCTCCAAAGAACACATGGCTCAGATGTGATTGATTAGGAGGCTGGCGGTCTAGTGGCCGTGTGTTGGACTGCAATCAGCTTGGTTGGCAATTCCAAACCACCAGCAGCCCTGGGGAGAAAGACTGGCTTTTGCTCCCAGAAACAGTTACCATGTTAGAAACCCACAGGAGGTTGCTGTGAGTTAGCATTGATTCGATGGCAGTGAATGGTGTTGACAGCGAGGCTTTGAAGAGAGTGATTGTTTAAACGTCACCTGTAGCAAAGCGTGTCTTAGAGCAACAGTCTCGAAGCTCAGGGGTTCTTCAGTGTCTTATCAGCCAGCAGGTCTGGTGGTTTTTAGGAATTTGAATTTGGTTCCGCATTTGCTCCCCTTCTATCTGGGACCGTCTGTTGCCCTCGGTCAGAACAGGTCAGCAGTGGTAGCTGTGCACCTTAGGTAGTTGTGGTCTTAGGTTAGGAGAGACCGCGGTTCCTGTGGGCTATTCGTCCTGTGCCCGGGTTCTTCTTTGAGCTGTTTCCTTCTCTTTTTTTTTTGCTCAGTATGAGTAGAGACCAATAGTTGTGTCTTAGATGGTTGTTGTAGGCCAGGCTGTCTAGAGAAACGAAACCAGTGCCACTCATCTATGTATAAGAAAGAACTTTCTGTCACGGAGTAAATTTACATCAAGATACCACCCTGCCAAGTCCAGCCCACGTCTCTAGGTCTAGGCCTGGGGCCTTCTTCAGACTCTTACCGCTTCCGGCCAAGCAAACATAAGTGTGAAGCCGGGAGATCACAGGCCAGCGGGTGCAGAATGACTTGAATCCAGGTCACTGGGAACATGGCAAGGAGCAGACAGCTCCCAGGGTCAGCGGCCCACATGGGGCCACCCCTGAGACAGAATCTCAGCAAGCAGGGAGGGTGAAGGACAAGAGAGACAAGATTTCTCACTATAAAAAGGCCATACCCCCAAGGAGGCATCACCAGGCTACCACCTGATTGACAGGTTGATCACCATCCTTACCACCACACAGTTAACATCAAGTTGCCATAAAAACCAACCACCACAGTGGGTACTCACAGCGCCATATGCTGCTCATAGAACATTATCTTTATGAGCAGTGTTGTGCCAATTGACCGATCGTCCCCCAACGTTATGGTCCTATGCCTTTTAGCCAGGGTTTAGAACCTGTGGAATTAGTTCATTCATAGCCAATATTGGAACTGATTCAAATTTCACAGATTGGGTGAACAATTTAGTGATAGGCAGAACACAAAACAGTTGTGCTTCAAAGGCCTGGAATGGGAGACTTAGAAGAAGCGGAAGAGAGCCTTTTCGGGAGCCTGATGCGGGAGCCTGGATTACTGCCAGGCCTGTGCACCCATGCAGATTCCCAGTGGCGCACGTGGCTGCGGCTTGAGCAGGGTGGCGCCAGTGCCCCCAGTGAGGAGGCCTTTGGTGGCTGTGCGGTGCTGGCGCTGCCCTTCTTCCCTGAGAGGGAGCTCTCTAGGAGAGCGTCGCAGTTGTTCCCTCTTCTGGCTCAGCCACGTTTTACAAATGTGGTTCACTCTGTGGGCCCTGGCTCCAAGCCCTGGTTGCCACGAAGTCACTGCACTGCTTCTCCCCATACCCTAGTGACTGTGAAGTGCTGACCACACTCACCCCTGACACTGGCCGCATCCTGTCCAAGCTCCACACTGTTCAACCCAAGGGCAAGATCACCTTCTGCACCGGCATCCGAGTGGCCCACGTGAGTCCTGCTGGATCCCTTGATGACTCCTCCCTGCTCACAGGTCCCGTCTCCATGCCCTTGGTTCTCCCTCACCTCTGACAATGGGGAAAGGAGATGACCCAGAGATAGCAATAATTAGGCTGCAGGAGAAAGGGGGTGGTGAGATGAGCCCCAGACACCATGAGCAGCACTGTGAAAGGGAAAATCCCTAGAACTGGAAACTCACCCTCCTTCCTTATCCACAGAGGCCCGGCAAGAAGGAAAGGGTGAGAGAGGGAGGGGGTTAGACCTTGTGGAGCCTGGTGGTACATGTGCGGTCTATAGAAACCATCAGGAAAAGTGGGAGATGGTCAGAGGAAGGGGCGAGATGGTTGCTCTGGCCGACTCTGAGAACCGCCTCTTCCTCTCCAAGCTGGCTCTGAAGCACCGGCAGGGCAAGAATCACAAGATGCGCATCATCGCCTTTGTGGGAAGCCCCGTGGAAGACAACGAGAAGGATGTGAGTCCAAGCCTCATTTGGGGGGCTGGGGTCCTTCCGTCCTTAGGACTGCTGGCAGGGACCCTGTGTGCTCCCCCTTTGGGGGAAGACATAGAGCTCGGCAGGGTCAGCACAGGCCCGTGCTTTCATGAGACATGTCACTTCCCCGTGGTGTGGGGCGGCTTCCTCATCTCATGCCCCTTCTTCCCAGCTGGTGAAACTGGCCAAGCGCCTCAAGAAGGAGAAAGTAAATGTGGACATTATCAATTTTGGGGAAGAGGTGAGTAGGGTCTGGTTGGGGGGCTCTAACTTGATTTGGGTATAAGCAGAGAGAGGCATCCTTAGGCAGAGGGGGTGCCTGCCCTCCGCGAGCCGAGCTCCAGGCGGAGGCTGAAAGGGCATTCAGAGAGAGGGAGGGGGCACGGCGTGAAGAAGAGCTCCTGTGTTGTTCTTCCCCAGGAGGTGAACACAGACAAGCTGACGGCCTTTGTAAACACACTCAATGGCAAAGATGGGACCGGTTCTCACCTGGTGACAGTGCCTCCTGGGCCCAGTTTGGCTGATGCACTCATCAGTTCTCCCATTCTGGCTGGAGAAGGCGGCGCCATGCTGGGTCTGGGTGCCAGCGACTTTGAGTTTGGAGTAGATCCCAGTGCTGATCCTGAGCTGGCCCTGGTGAGCAAACTGTCCCTGGGTCCTTCCCTGCCCTCTGTTGACACACATCATCTGTGTTCTGCAGGGCAAAACAAAACCCAACCCAGTGAGTCCATGGCGAGCCCGTGTGAGCCAGAGTGGAACTCTGATCCATTGGGCTGTCTGTCCGTGGCTGGTTTTTTGGAAGTTGGTTGGCAGACCTATCTTCTGAGAAGTGTCTGGGTGGACTTGAACTGCCAACCTCTGGTTAGCAGCTGAGCTCTCTTAGCGGTTTACACTACCAGACACCTATATTACTCAAACTTGCTGCCGTCGAATTGGCTCCGACTCAGAGTGACACCCTAGACATTACTAGACAATTCTAAGTACCCCCATAACCTTGTGCTCCTTTTCCTGATAATGCTGTCTGATCTTTAGGGCCACCCATGTCGACTCTTTCTTGTTGGCGGTTCCTGATTAAACCTCCACTTGCCCAAAGTCCGTCCCTCTGGCCCATCTACCTCTTTTTATCTCCCCAGCCTCTTCCCCTCAGTGTCCACTAGAAGCTGCCCCGTCTTGCTCCTTTCCTCTGCTCCTTCCCTCCCGGTGCTGGTTGGAGTGAGAGTTGGGGACTGCCTGACCTTGGCTTGCCCTTTCCCAGGCCCTCCGTGTTTCTATGGAAGAGCAGCGGCAGCGGCAGGAGGAGGAGGCCAGGCGGGCAGCTGCGGCCTCTGCAGCCGAAGCTGGGATTGCTTCCTCTGGGACCGAAGGTGAAAGAGGTGGAATCTGACGTCCCAGGGCTGTGGGGTGGGACCTGGGAGGAGTGGGAGCGGGCAGCCTGGCATGGCGGGACTGTGGAAGGACCGGGTTGAGGGAATGGTTTTGGAGGTGAGGCACCCGTGCCAGCCCGCTGCTCTCTTCCTTTCCCCAGACTCGGACGATGCCCTGCTGAAGATGACCATCAGCCAGCAGGAGTTTGGTCGCGCGGGCCTCCCTGACCTAAGCAGCATGACTGAGGAAGAGCAGATCGCGTATGCCATGCAGATGTCCCTGCAGGGAGCAGGTGAGTCGCAGCCCCGGACAGGGCACAGGCAGGTGGGCTGGGCAGAGAAACCAAACTGAGCAGGCCTTTCTTCCTCAGAGTTTGGCCAGGCAGAATCAGCTGACATCGATGCCAGCTCCGCCATGGACACGTCGGAGCCTGCTAAGGTGAGGGCCCTCCCTGGTGAGTCTCCTCCACCAGCCTTCCAGCCTCCTGTGTCCTGAAAGGTCTCCACCCACAGCTCCCTAGAGGGGTTCTTTGGGGAGCAGAAGGAAGCACGAGGGTATATATGAAGGAGCTTCGAAAAGGTTATGGAAAAGTGGAATTGAGGGTATGGAACTTTTTCACGGATTGTATGAAGCCTCCTCCTATTTCTTGTGTGTGAATCTTGCTAAGGCACTAGAAAGGTCATGGCCAGAGTTGGAGAAGTGCCCCAGCATGCTCTAGTTTTCCTTCCTTGCTGGTAGAACATTCTGGACAAAACTCTGGGGTAGCAGCTGCCAGGACAGTGAAGAGAGGTCTGGGGAAAACACCAAGAAGTGGGGGTGACTGATAGGGAGCCAGAACCTGAATGCACGGGATTGCCCTCGTAGGCCCAAGGAGCAGTCCTCTCATCTCAGGTCAGTCATGATTGTTTGCGTTGGTACCGTTTCTCAGGCCTGGGTTTTCTGCTGACGCTCCCCTTCCCACTCTTGGCCAGAGATGCCCCCACCCTCCGTCAAGTGGAGAGAGCGGCTCCGCAGCATGCTCATGTCCTGCTCCCCAGCAGACCTGCTCCCTCTGCCCACAAGCTAATGGTACCCCTTTTCAGGAGGAAGATGACTATGACGTGATGCAGGACCCTGAGTTCCTTCAGAGCGTCTTGGAGAACCTTCCAGGTGTGGACCCCAACAATGAGGCCATTCGAAATGCCATGGGCTCCCTGGCTTCCCAGGCCACCAAGGACGGGAAGAAGGACAAGAAGGAGGAGGACAAGAAGTGAGGCTGGGCGAGGGGTGGCTGAGCTGGCTCAGGACTGTAGAGAGTGGGGCAGGAGGTAGGGCTAGTTACGCAATCTGTAACTATTGCAACTTAAATAAAACTTGACATCTTTTTCCCCCTTTTGTTTCAATTAGTGGTAGCTTTGAGTGTCAGGGAAGAGGGAGCACGTGGTGAGAAGGAGAGAGTTTCTCAAAGTTCTCTTAAGTCCCCAGTGCTTGGTCTGTAACCCTGACCAGCTCCTCTTCTTCTCATCTCCCTCCATGGCGGGCTCCGCCGCCCTGTGACCATGGCGCTTTCTCGTGGTGACGAGCTGTGCTGAGAGCCCACTTAGTATTAGGCATGGGGCCCGCAGAAGAGAAACCATCCTGGCCTCCGGGGACTCAGCCTGCAGAGGGCCATGAGCCGTCCAATGTATGTGGCCAGTGCTGACAGAGGAGTGAGAACAGCGAAGAGGTGGAGCCTGGGAAGGCTTCTGGAAGTGACAGTTGAGTACTCTGAAGGAGAGAGTTCACCAGCTGATGAGGCGGCGATAGGGATGTTCCCCAGCAGTAGGAATTGCTTGTACTGATAGTGTGGAGGCACATTTGAGGAGCTGAGGGGTTCATCGACTGCTTGGGCTGTGGCAGGAGCGATGGGAAAGTAGCCCGTGGCCAGAGCACCAGGGAGTCAGCGTCCTGCGTCCTTTGGGCCAGACTCACAAGGGGGCTGAGGGAAGGCCAGGACGAACACAGTATGTCTTGTGTCTTACCGAATAGAAGGCAACATTTACCTAAGCCCTCAATGATGTGAAAGGAGGTCATTAGTATCTGACATGAAGGGAAGACATGCATACTTTATGAAGCGTGATTCCCCTATGAAACCTCCTCACATAAGAGCTAGAGCATCACTGGTGCCGTGCAGTGAGCATCCCTGGGCATCCCTCTCAAAGGGAACCCTGGTCCTGAATTTGGAGATTGTCATTTCCTTTAGTTTGGTCACACGTACAGATCCCTCACCAGAATACGTTTAGCTTTGCTGTTTGGGGGGCTTTATAAGAAATGGTTGTATCCTGTTAAGTCCTCTGGGAATTACTTTTTCAAACAAAACGTGGTGTTGAGCGTCATCACAGTGGTCACACATGGCTACGGCTCATTCCTTCTTCCCGGCTATACAGTGCTCTGCTGACACAGTAGCACGCTGGGCATTCCTGTGGCTGGCCTTTTGCGTTGCTTCCACTTAGTTTGCTCGCATCAGCAGGACGACAGTGGTGTTTGCCGTGTCTTTGGAATACAGCCTATAAGATCATGCCACCTGTGGTTATCGTTGGCCGGGAGGAAGGGGTTGTATTATCTTGTAATCCCACTTTCAACAAGCGTTTTGAAACTCCCTTGTGCTGTGCCCCCTCCTGCAGTGTGAGATTCCCTACTGAGCACCCTGTCCAGCCCTGGGTGTCATTCACCCCTCTTAACTGCTGCTGTCTGATGAGGGTAAAGTGGGAATTGGTTGTGCTCCTGGTTTGCATTTTAAGTCTTTTATCTCCACTTCAGTGAAATCCCTCATCATGTCCTTTGTCCATTTCTCCATCCCGGTATCTTTGTGTTCTTTCAGGAGCTCTTTACATTTCATTAAAAAAAAAATGTTTTTTGATTGTGAATCAGGTGAAGGTGTACAGAGCAGATCATAGATTCTGTTCTCGTTTGTCCTTTAAACAGTTATTCCATCTGGAATCCACTTTTCTTGTTAAACTAAAAAAAAATCAAACCAAACTCACTGCCATTGAGCCAGTGCTGACTCATAGTGACCCCCTTGTGGTTCCCAAGATTGTAACTGTTTACAGAGTAGAAAGCCCAGTCTTTCTTCCTTGGAGCTTGCTGGTGGTTTCGAACTGCTGACCATGTGGATCGTTTCCCAACACATAAGTTTTTTAGCTGGAAAACCAGTTATAACACCATTTATTGATAAAATCCCTCCTTTCCCAGTATTCTGTACTCTTACCTCTGGGCCAAGATTACATGACTGTCATTTCCAGGACCTGAGAGTCGTAATTGGGGGTAACAGGTTTCTACAGACATGAAGCTAGAAAACCCACTTTGTGCTTAGATAGTACACCCACTCCTCACTTATCAACACGGCTAGGTTCCAAAGGCCAAGTTAGTATGCCACTCGAAGGAAACCGGGAAAAGCCAGTGGAGTATCCTGCAGCAACAAGGTTTTTGGGTATATGCTCCAGTTATCTCATTTCCCAAGTGATTTATATCAATTTCTTCTAACAATAATTGTATATTACATGCAGGTGAGCTATAATTTTTAAGATATACAATAGGTTGTACAAAGCCATAGACACAAGTAGAGAAAACAGTACATCAAATAATTCTGTAATTCATTATCCTGACAACTACTTTCCAACTGATCACTCTTTCTGTTTTACAATGAGAAATCGGGAGGGGTCAATTCAATTCCAAGCAGGATTACAGTAGTAATTAACATTCCAAACTCATTTGAACTCTAGGAAACTGTCAAAACATTCAGTGAAAAGTCTTAACAAAAGTGATCATACATAAAACAGGACCGATTCAATCAAGATGACCACAGTCTTGCTCACAACTCCCATCATCCACTCCCCATGCAAGAAAGACCAGCAGCATCTAATGTAGTCATGCAAAATGCTCACTGGTGCAGTTTCTAATTACACAGCCCGACAGTGAAAAACTATGTACAGTGAACCCTCATTTATCGCGGTTAATCGGTTCTAGACCCTACCGTGATAAATGAAATTCCGCGAAGTAGGATTCCTTATTTGTAAATCAAATATTTTCATAGTTAGAGCATAGAGGACATGAAAAAACACCCTTTAGTCACCATTACACTCGTATTACCCAATTTATTAAACGAAAAAGGGAAAATACAGTAAAACATTTTGGACGTTACAATTATCATTTATTTATTATATTATTTATGGCATCTAGTTTACAGTATTACATATTTCACATACAGTATTATTATACATAGTTCTTACAAATACTGTAATCAATAGCCTATGAAATGACTTAAGGGATGTACTCTACAGGTGGGTCGCTGTCTTTTTCCTCTGAAGGAGCGGGTGTAGGCAGTGGGTGCTGTTACGCAAAAACCGCGATAGAGTGAAGCCGCGGAAGTCGAAGCGCGAAGTGGCGAGGGTTCACTGTATCAAGTTTTGTTGCTGTATCAAGAATACTCAGTTATTTGAAACGGCCATGGAAACTTCTGTTTTCTACAATCTATTTGTGAAAACAGATTGTTATACATGTCAGTCAGCTCCAGTACTGCAATAGCTTAATTGCTGAAACAGGAAAATCTAGCTGTTTTCTATTAAGCCAGACATTAAAGAGATCTGCAAAAATGTAAAATAATGAACTCATTCAATTTTTGTTTTGGAAAACATAGCTATTTTTCATAAGCCCATGTAATGATTTTACTGTTTTAATTTAGATGGATTGATATAGAAAATTCATCTTAGAATTTCTAATGTGGTAGCTATATTTATTGAACTTGACAAAAAACTCTTGGGAATCTTCCATCTTTTAAGAATGTAAAATTGATTCTGAGACACCCCCCCAAAAAAACAAAAACACCACTGGTTCACAACCAGGAAGTTTGGCTCTAGCACCCACAACTGTAAACATTTAGCCACAAATAGTTAACATTGCTATAGGTCACAGAGCAATACCTATCATTTTTAAAATGTGATCAAAACAGAAAAACTGGCAGATGTCATACTGGTTATTTCTGGGGATAAGAAATACGTGTCAAACTACTATAAAATTCTGTTACTTTTGGAGTATGCAAACATGTAAAAAAATAACTTAATTTCTTTGAATTTGTATTTTCTTTCACTATCAGCCACTTTCTTGCTTTATTTCCGCTAATGAGCAAAGAACCTCATAATCCACTATTTATTTCTTTATTTTTAAAATCCTTTTATTGGGGGCTTATACGATTTTTATCACAATCCATACATGCATCCATTGTGTCAAGCACATTTGTACATTTGCTGCCATTCTCAAACCGTTTTCTTTCCACTTGAGCCCTTGATATTAGCTTCTCATTTTCCCCCCTCCCTCCTTACTCCCCCTCCTTCATGAACCCTTGATAATTTATAAATTATTATTTTATCATCATACACTGTCCGACATCTCCCTTCACCCACTTTTCTGTTGTTCCCCAGGGAAGAGATTATATATAGATCCTTGTAATCGGCTTCCCCTTTCTACCCCAGTTTCCCTCCACCCTCCAGGTATCGCTACTCTCACCACTGGTCCTGAAGGGATCATCTGTCCTGGATTCCCTGTGTTTCCAGTTCTTATCTGTACCAATGTGCATCCTCTGGTCTAGACTGATTTGTAAGGTAGAATTTGGATCATGATAGTGGGGAGAGGAAGTATTTAAGAACTAGAGGAAAATTGTCTGTTTTATCATTGATACCCTGCTCCCTGACTGACTCGTCTCCTCCCCATGATCCTTCAGTAAGGGGGTGTCCAATTGCGTACAGATGGGCTTTGGGTCTCCACTCTGCACTCACCCTCATTTACAATGATATGATTTTTTGTTCTTTGATGCCTGATAACCTGATCCCTTCGACACCTTGTGGTTACACAGGCTGGTATGCTTCTTCCATGGGGGCTTTGTTGCTTTTGAGCTTGATGGCTGCTTGTTTACATGCAAGCCTTTAAGACCCCAGATGCTATATCTTTTGATAGCTGGGCACATCAGCTTTCTTCACCACATTTGCTTATGCACACGTTTGTCTTCAGTGATCATGTCGGGAAGGTGAGCATCATAGAATGCCAATTTAATAGAACAGAGTGTTCTTGCATTGAGGGAGTATTTGAGTGGAGGCCCAATGTCCGTCCATCTGCTGCCTTAATACTAATACTAAATATATGTACATAAATCTATTTCCCCACCACCCTGTATAGATATATTTATATATGTACATGCCTGTATTTAAACCTCATAAATACCCTTTGCCTCCTAGTTCTTTCCTCTATTTCTTTTTACTTTCCTCTTGTCCCACTATCATGCTCAGCCTTCATTTGGGTTTCAGTAATTTCTCTCAGTTACATTGCCCTTGCTGAATCCCTACCATAATCTTCTATT